GGAGAGGGGGCTTTCTTCACCATTGCCATTGTAAAACAACCCCATAAAAAGAGGATATCATTACACTTACAACCAGTGTTACATTCCATTAGATTGTGTTACATCCGGTCAGCAGTCGTTCTTCTCGAACTTCCGGCCCACGCGTTCACTTTATTCACTATTCTGGCCTTATCGACTGTCACAATATCTGACTCGATTTTAGCCAAAGACGTTACTTTGGATTGTTCAAAGGCATGCATTTGCTTTGTACATTGATCTCGAAACATTTACAATATGAGGAACACAGAAGCCATACTTGCCAAGGGTCGCTTTAGAACCGATGTTTTTAAATTCTCATTTTTTAATCGCATTGTGGATTTATGGAACGACCTGCCTGTAGCTATTAGGACAATTGATCGAGTATCATTGTTTAGTAAGAAAGTGAATCAGTTTTATATCAGTAAATTTAACTTAAGTAAGGATAAATTTTTATAATTTTTGATTACGTATTGTTGTTGCTATTTGTCTAAGTTAGTTTTTAATTTTTTTGTATTTTATCACAGGCAGTTTATTTAAAATAAGGAATCTAGAATTCTGTATAAACTGGCCTAATTACTCAGATATCTCTTTTTTATACTTGAATATATATTTAACTCCTTGTTTTTGTTTTTGTTTTGATTATCTGTGTAATTGAATTTGAGTAAATAAATAAGTAAAAATGCTCGACGGCAGAAATCGCAAGTATTACGACCATGTTTTGACCTTGTCAACTATTCTTTGTCAAGTGTATGCGGGGTACTTGTATCATCATCTCTGGTCTGAATGACGGATAACTGGATATTCGGTGGGAGTAACCTTTGGATTAGAGTCTGCGCTAGATTTGGTCAAGAAAATGGAGCGAGCGAAGAAACACTGGAGAGAACCACGCAACGAAAGCATCCTGAAGAAATTCCCAAAACCTTCAAGGCAGGTTTTGTATCAAGTTATATTTTCATCAAATTCGTTGGCCAAAACCTTATCAACTAAATGTAAATAATAGACAAGATGATAAAAGATACTTTTGAATCTCATTTTGTCTCTCTAAAGCCTGTTTGAGCCAAACACTAGACCTCTCAAAATTGCCAATTTTGCAATTTTTTGCAATTTGTCCCAAATGTCTTCGGGCACCCATGACCAGAATATAATTTTCCCCAAATTGATTTTATGATATCTAGAAACTTCAATATCTGCGTAATCTCTGCTGCTAATTTGGCTGGTGTGGAAAGAGTACTTTCGGAAAAATTACGAATATGGTTGTGCTTGTTTTTCCTGCTTGTCTAAAATGGCTGACAGCGAACATAGTAAGACGAGCATTTTCTTCTTGTTTTTAAAACCCAAAATATTTTAAAGGAAAATTGTTTAAACTGGGATAGTGGCTTTACCATCTGTATGAATTTCATTTGAATTGGTTCACATGCATCCGAAAACCAGACTTGTTTACTTTTACTTTTTGAAAGTAGAACCTTTGCACAAAACATGGTCCCGAGGCCGACGTCATCTTGCGGTTACCATGGAAACGATAATCAGCCAATCTAAATATGGTTATTTTTGTTTATCCCTCATGGTGACCTACCTCTACACAAAAATTGAAGGGGGGGGGAGTGAGAAATTTTCATTTGCTACTTTGCTTCACTTTCTCGGAGAACTGCTCTTAACGACTAACCAGCAGAGAACTTTTTATGTGTTAACATAGCCTCATCTAAACACTAGAGATGGGGGGAGGGG